TGACGTTATTTAATTTTTGTCAGATAAATATTTAGAATTTTCATTGAAGAAATTGTTCCTTAAGTTAGTGTTTGTACACTTGTGATCATAAGAATGGGTTCCATCGATTGATCATCGAAAGGGTGCAAATCCCATCGCTCCTCGCAAGATACCCAGTGATATGAACTCCCGATTCGAGTGCATCAAAGTAAGAACCACTGCGATTCGTTGGTCGAGACAGATGGCTCGTTGGATCTCTCTAGTGATGGTGAACATGTCGGTGAACGTACCTTAGTTAGTGGTTGTACCACCTATGACGAAAACGTACAGGGTGTGACAGAAGTCTGTGACTAGTGTAAATTCTGTTATCCTAGTGAGTAAAAAGAATAGAAATAGGAAAATTTCAATTGGAAAATTAATACATCAATAGTTTAAATTTTTTGTAATCGCAATTTTGAATAATACAGATGTGATAATAATAATTTAAGACAAGGTACCAAATTGAGAGCTTAAATTAGAAAAATACGAAAATTTAATTTTCATTAAACAATACTTCTGAGTTTTACGAATTCAACCCCGATTCCACGTTAAGAAGGTTCGTAGAAATGGCGAAACTTCCATCTACACCCTGTACATTCGTCAAACGGCGTACACAGAAGTCTAGATCGTTCCCCTTGTGGGTGATGACGCACACACGCGAGCTAAACAATAGTTAAATCAGGATGAGGGGTGGGCAAAGGGTGCTGTGGGTGTTTAATGAGCTGCCAGCCAGTGACTGAAGGGGGGCAACGAGTGAGTGTGGTACTAGGAAGGGAAGAGGGAGTATGGCAAAGGGATTTTTCGGGGTGCGAGGAGGACGGTGAAATGTATGGGGCACGAGCTACGGCACCACTTGACTGTTTATGGGACCGGCACCGTGTAAAGTGTAGAAATAACATTGCATACGTTTAAATGGTCTTCAGCTGGTGTGTCGCGAATAAAATTCTAGTATCTATTTTATTTTTATTTATTACATAGTCATACAAATTGTATAGAAAATGCTTATTTTATTATTCATGAAAAATAAACGGTGATTCCGAAGGGTCGCCAAGGGTTTCTCGACCCTGATTGACTGACCGCTGACCTACGACCATGGCGAACACCTGAGCATTCACGAAAGTAACGCTTCCGTGAAATTAGCCTGTTCCACTCCTATTGAAGCACCTTGAGAAACCACCATTCACCGTATTAAGTTACTGTTTGCCGGCGATTTAGAAATCCGAAGGGTGTTCCAATTGCGATATTGAGTTACTATTTGCAGACGATTTAGAGAATTAGGGAAAACCGTTTGTCCGACGAATTCATGAAACGAGCCAATTCGAGCGCGAAAAATGAAATTCTATATCCGGCACCGTTACATTTACTGTTGCACGAAATGGACCCTACTAATTGCTTCACAATTTCAGAATTTTTAAAACAGAAAAAAACCAAAAATTTATTGTGTTTCCTTTTGTTATTGGAATTGTTGCATCAACACGTGCAATTTTCCAAAATCCTTCGATTGGATCGTATTCGAAGTACGTCGAATAAAACGCACACAACTGTAAGATCTGTAGATCAAATATGTTTTCAGCGCGCATGTAATCCTGCCTAAGCTCACCCTACAATCCCAAATAAAACGTGCGCCGATACGAATGCTTCACAATGACGTTAAATCAATGATTTGTCCAGCGAGCCTTCGGCACGGCTTTTAATCCCGGTTTTACATGTGATTAAAGGCTGGCTTAAGTGTCAGATCGATTGATGCTATTAATGAATAATTGTCAATGGAGAGTATATTAAATATCATGAAAAATCGGAAAAACAGTTCCTTTGTGGTTTACTACTCGAAACTACAAAAAAAATTGCAAACATTTAAGTTTCACAAAGTTTTTATTATTTCAAACAAATATTGCATTTAATACACGTTGCATTGATCAAAGGGTGTTTCGCAATAAAGTTTCTTGAACAACGGCACGAGGGATCGTTAACATTATCGTTGATCGTCGGGGATTCGATGATTCCCGATCGACTTTCGAGGACTCGTCGCTCCCTGGACCAGTAATCCACGTCATTCCGGGATGAATGCCTGGCTGGCTCGGGCATTCTTCAAGTAAATTATAGTCTTGAATGGCAGCACAGTGGGGGGTTGGTTGGCACGCGTACATTGGGGTACACCTGCCCCCCGTAGACATCTGTCCCCTATACTTCGATCGCGAGAGTCAAACCATAGCGTGCAGATTCTCGCCAGTTGTTGTCAAGTTCTTATTAACGACTTGAAATGTCCACGGATTTTTTATTCCATACAAACAATTATTTTTCTTATTTCAAAAATTTCCAAATTATAATAATTATTTATTATTCATTCTTGCGACAGTATGATTCAGTAAGCATCTTTACAGAAGGATCAACCATCAACATCTCGAGTCTCGTGCTCGTTAATTCAATTTATTCTCCGCAGGGACGATGATCTGAAGCACAAATAAGGCTTTCCATATTTTAGCGAGCCATCACGCTCGCGGCATTGAAATAGAGAGGAATAGACGTCTATGGTGTTCGCGGGGTGTGTCCCATGACGTAGCGGTCTAACCGGTATTGTTCGTGGTTTACCACAAAGGCCTGCAAATGCCAAGTTGCAATGAAAAGCCCGTACTACCCCACGCGTCACGTCTAAACAGATGCCGAAATACGATGCCGAAAGATGCTTGTCTGAATCTTCTTTTTACACCCTCCGCTGTCTATCGACGGTCCTTTGGGGTAAATACGGGGGTGGTTTCGTTCCTTAATCGGGGTCACCTTTGTTCCTCCGGATGGATCTAATTTTCTATCGAACGCTATTCGAATCTTTAAAACTCGACCACTTTACTTAGACCAATTTAACATAGTTGTAACATAGCTAATTTTTTCTCTATATTTTAATCATTTATTATCGTCCTCTTCAGATTTTCATTAGATAACGTTTCTTTCTCTCTGTCTGTCATTCAGGGACCAGTCGAGCAATTATTCCATCAAGAGGGAGTTTCCACGTCGCAGAGAATCACCGCCATTAATCTTCGATTAAGCGTTCACCGATCGGTCAAGGTAATTTCACGAATTTTCATGAATTAGGAAAACTCGTCTCCCCCTTTTTCCTACTCGTCCACGGTACCCTCGGTTCTACCCGTACTCTCGACGGGGGAGCACCTCTGTCAGCCACCAGTATGTCACCATACAGACCAGCGCCCCGGTACAATGAGGGCCGTGAACGCGATCGATATGTGCACTCGACGGAAACGACCCAACGAAAGGTCGATCAAAGCGAAATCACTGCGCTTGCAAATGCAGCGGCTCGATGTTTATGGCCTGTAAAAAATTCCTCGTTCAATCTTTGTTTAAATCGCACGGAGAACGCGCCTGGTTTGACTTTATTGTTCTTCAGCTTATTGTTAGTTCAGCAGACGGATTTGAACGAAATTTTGCGCGATATCTGATGTTTTTATATAAATGGCACCTTTTATTTTTTCTATGTTTTGTAGAATTTAATTTATTTTGACACGCGTCAGTGTTTTAGATAAGTGAACACATACGGAATTAGGAAACATCCTGGAAAATAAATCAAGCGCGTTTTCCAATTTCTTGTTTTCAGGCGTCGCACCCCTATAGGATGGAAGCAGTTACGGGGCGCAGTGTCCACGGCAAAAACTGATTGAATCCCCCCAAAATCCAACACCTTTACGTATCCCGGCCGTCTGTCGTGGCTGTGCACACAGTTATATGTCGTCGACATAATGGTTCCATTGAAGCATTACCATTATTGGCGAGATTTGGGGAAACGATCGAGCGTGCTAACGGATTCGTCGCAGCTTGCAGCTTGTTTGCAAATAGGTCTTGTATACGAAATTATTGATCAACCGGTTAAACGTCTCCTATAAGCAAAAATATCTTATTTGTCTGTTTGCAACGTTAGAACACGATCGATGAGAAATTGGACATATTATTTCCAAAATCAAAAGTATTGATTTGGTGTTATACTTTGATTTGATTGACATTATCAATACGTATCGATATCGGCCCGATCGCTGCCGATTATTCTTAGAAAATTAGATAAATGCAAATGAAAATCGATCGATCAAGTAGCACCATACTCGGAAAATAATTTCCATAACAAGAACAAGTGGGTGTTCCATTCTAGTGACACGATGGCTAAGTGTTAGAAAAATAAATAGGTGAACTGGATCGATCAAATGAAGAGCAAACAGGGCGGAAGCTATCAAAATAACCGTTGGACTGTTGAATTCAGGATGGAAAAATAATATTTTCCTGTCGATCTTCCGATTCACGTCTGTTCCTCGTGCATGAAAATTGCGTGATTCTTGTTTTGATTCCCTGATCGAAATTCCATTTCAACCCCATTTCAGAAGTAGGGAACATAAATTACAATTTCAGAGGAAATCGTGGATGAGGGCTGAAGGAGCAGGTAAAATTTTTTTTCGATTGTCCAACCGATTTCGAACATTTCAGAGTCACGTTCCTCGGGTAATCCGTCGGATTAGGCGGGTAGGAGTAATTTCAACGCGATTTGCCGATACATCTGTCCCGCGGTGATTTCTACAAAAGACACGTGTCCTGGCACGTGCTCCTTCATTCTTCAACAGGACTTCATTCCTGCAAAGTGGCTCGAGCATGCTCGTTCGTGAAACGATAACCGTTTAATCGCCGCGCATCGTGTTTGCGTATTCGTTTACCCTCTTTCGACGATGACTTTGTTACTGATCGAAAACGTGGCTTATCTATCATCCCTCTTACAAATCGTGAGCGAGTAAAATTAAATATATAGTAGCAAAATTTCATCTAGATGATTTCGTAACTTTTGAACTTATAGTCTGGAATATTAGCATTTATTGTGTGATTCAATTTTGGAGGTAAAAGTAATGAATGGTAAACAATTAGGTAAAATATGATTTATTGATAAGATATAAATTCTGTACAATATATATTCCCTGAATCGGTGATTTCACGATCCGATAAGAGCACTGACGGAGAGGTGTGCTTAAATAATAAAATATTCTAGAAACAAAGGGGGTGAGATCAAACATTCGAGATCAACCTAAGAGCATCGATGACTAGAAAAGAAAAGGAACGCGATTTTCTTTAGTACGTGCTTACATAATTATATACGGGATGCGTTTACAGATAAACGAGACCAATCGAAATTAAAATCCTAGTCACGATCGTGCTAACTTTAACCTTAATCCTAGTAATTCGTTGCAAATAGAATGCTCTCTTACAAAGTAAATAACGATCATTTTGTACGTTAGCCTACTCTTTGTACAATTACACGAATTAAACTCCAATCAACACACTGCTTGATTTCGAGTACAGTACGACCGAGACACAATTTACATATAATTCACTTGTAAATTGTAATAAGTACGCTCTTTGACATTTGGAAGGGTGTGTCATTGAAAGATTCATAAAACTATGGATTCATACTATCTGGTAAATGACTGCGGATGTAAATTCTTTGGTTTTCGATCACTGGCTTCTGTATATAAATTATGGAAATTATGGAATGCTTCGAAGTTTCGATTTACTAAAATTCGTGTACACTTTTATATCAATATCATCGCCGAATTACGGCAACCCCAAAGAATCGTGGCTCGTTACAACGATACAATGGCGGCGATGACTCATACCACTCTCTATTACCGTACATATTTTACGAGAATTTTCATCCCTTATACGAAACTTCGAAATTATCTGCAAATCTGTCCATAAGATTCTTCTTTCGTAATACACATCCCTTTCGTCATTCTCGTGCCTCATTCTCGTAACCGAAGTTTGTACTATCTCCTTGCTCTTTCTTATATTAATACTCGGTTAGTGATTGCAGATTTGGGACTTTCATCCGGTGAACATCCACAGCCCTCAGTCCTCGACCTCGCTATTTCATAGCGATATTTGTACCGACCAAAATCTACGAGCACCAACCAGGCATAGCTGTACTAAAAATGTCACCCTTCGCAGTTTCAGGGTACACCATTCACCGGGAACTTTCTAAAGACACTGATACATGTTATTCGGTCCCATATGATGTGGAGTCGGAAGTTGATGCTGCGTGTGATACATCCTCTGATCGAAACATGGTTGATACTGCATCGGCGGACTGACACTTTGATCGCTGTAGCAGTCGTACTCCTGCCATTCGGGAACGAATCGTTCTTGGGGATAGGGGAAGTTCGCGTGCGACGGTCCGAGACGTTTCTGTGCCGCCACCGCACAGCTTCCGGTCGAAGAGGTGATCATATTTCCGTTCTCGCTGATGCTCACCGTCACGTTGCCCACGTTCACAGTGATCTCACCCGTCTCGGAATTTCCCAACGTCTGAGACAGCGCCCAGATGTAGTTGTGGGCGAACCGAAGGGTCTCGATTTTCGTCAGCTTCGTGTCCTCCGGAAACGTCGGCAATGCCATCCTCAGACGTTCCAACGCGTCGTTCAATGTGTGCATCCTGTGCCGTTCGCGATCGTTCGCCTTTATCCGACGGGTCCTTTTCAGCCTGAGCACCTGCGGATGAATCAATGGTGAGGATTTCGATCTTTCCGTCTTTTTGCGTGTTTTTTCGGTAGTTACGGGAGGTTTGCTCGAGAGGTCCTCGAAACGGGACACAGGATCGAATGGAGATTTCTTGAGAATTAGATAATATAGAGTATTTCGTTGTTTCATTTTGAGTATCTCTAATATTGTATTTTCAATGGAAAAATTAATCAGTTACCTGTGTAGGACTTTTGCACCTCGTGTTTCGAGGCTTCTTGCGTTTCTCTTCTTTTAGCGGTGGAAACAGATTATCCGATTGGATTTCGTGTTTCGGTGATTCGAAGCTGACGTCGAAGCCGGAATCAGAAGAGCTCGAGAGCTCGTCGAAACCTCCTTCGCCGCAGAAGGAATACTCCGAGGACATGCTGAATATTTCCTGAAAAGAAACGCAAGGCAAAGCTCAAATTATACAATCCTATACAAATAACTAAATCATTTGGTGAATCATACTATGAATTAATCCTTCTATGAGCAATCGTTTTGAAATTTAAATATTTAATGTTTTTTTTTTTATATCAATCTTACCTAATAATTGTTCGAATTAAAAAATGAAATTAATCCTTGTTGAATAGATAACGATCGATCACTTCACTTGAACTTTAGATAATTGTTTTAAATAATTATTTAAAAGTTGTGTCACGACATAACTGTATACCCCATCGGCAGCGAGAAAAAACGAAATAAAGAATGACGACCGTTCGAGACGGGGTACAATTTGGTACTGCGAAAGTGGCATGGGGCTCTTAGAGCATATATACCGTCCCGGGGGTATTTTGCCCCCTCCATAAGGGCGGACCGCCTTCTATGGGGCACCGTACCAACAGTTCACCCCATAATCACGACACAGGGGCACCTAACGTTCTCCCCCACCATCCTCTGTGTGTGCATTAGACGCGTGCCATGGCGATGTAGTCGTCTAGTTTAGGAGATTAGAGGTTTTTAGGGCGATTACACCTCTTTATGGAGCTCGTACGGGAGAACGAAGAGGAAATTGTGTGGTATGTTATTAAATTGCTGTCGTAAGGGTTTCTTGATAGATCACTAATTAATTTTTATGTTTTCTTAACGAATTATGCTTTCTAATTTTTCAGGACTAATACTTTAATTTTTTATTTTTCTTTAATTTTATACTTATAAAATTGTAAATTGTAAAATAGTAAGAGCTGGTTTGCGCTTTATGATGCTAACCATGTTTGCTGCAGTGTACACTTGGATATCATTGCACAGGTGCCTTTACATTCACCACGTTCTACTATTTTACTCTATCTTTCACCTTATTTATTTTAATTAATAGATTGTTTCTTACCTCACTCATTTTGAAAAAAAAAAACGATTCTCAATTTGTCTATTTTTACCAGTCACTATTTCCACTTTTGTTAAAATATTCAACCTGGAATCGTCGATCAACGCTGTCACTGGTTATATGATAGAAAATAAGTGGACGATAATCTAGTAAAACCAACCATGGCCATCTGTTAGATTCGCTAATCAGCTGATAATACCTGGGACATCGCTATAGAAACGAACAGGAAGATCAGCTCGAATAGGTAAGTTTCGACGAAAGTGTTACAGTTAATCGATTGTTGACCCCATTTCCTCCTTCTCTTTTTTTATTTTTATCAATGAATAATTTTAATAAATTGGGTAATATTATTTACACGATTTAATAGTTCAAGTTCTTTCCATGAGAAGAACCACCTGTATTTATTGAACTTTTCTAGTTTTGACACTTCATAGCCAATCTTTTCCTAAAGTAAACCTAGAATCATGAATACTTTGTTCAATCACTGATAATTCCAGAATTTGTTTTCTAGAAGTATCAGTGATTGTTCGCACTTTCCCACGAAATATCAATATGCAAAGGGATCACCGGTAGCATGATAGGACGAGCTGTAATCAATGATATCTACAGCTCTATCAATGTACGTCAATTACTGCCACGCCAATTATTCGACACCTCGTAATTACATTTCAAGTTTAGTTCTAATTACAATTTGTACAGACAAGGATCGTTAAACACAAAATATGTACATATAATACTTCAACTTTCTTTTTTGCCTTAACATTGAGAAAATTACAAGGCAAGGGGTTCATGTACTCAATTTTCTCCGACATTAACTTTTTTTATAAAACCTTCATGAATCAATTTAGAACAAGCATTTATCTTGCATCATAAAATTTTTATTAATTATCGAAATTGCGTTAGTGTTTTATTGTATCGTGAGCAGAGAACGGATAATATTTGTAGACCGTAACATTTACATAATTATAATGTTCTCGATCAGTGATTTTCTGATATGTAAGTGGAATGATATAAGCACTCTTCTAATAAACTGCAATCAGTTTTCTACATACTTTTTTGCTAATTATTACGATACCAATTTTCTCTTAGAGATCTGATTGCGATAAAAATAATTTCACAAATGAATTTAATTTACCTATGTCTATTTACATCAGCAGATCACTGTATTAAGAAAGGTGTTCTTATTCAACCATTTAGAAATGAAAGGAATTGTACGAAAGGTTGATCGAATTCGAGCACAAATCATCAATGATGTTACCTGATTTACATCAACAGATCACTGTATTAAGAAAGGTGTTCTTATTCAACCATTTAGAAATGAAAGGAATTGTACGAAAGGTTGATCGAATTCGAGTACAAATCATCAATGATGTTACCTGATTTGCATGTCACGCTTTGATGCGATTCGCTCGACTCTATCGAATTGACACTAAAGGAAAGCCGTGTATAATACCAGATTCTATAGACCTGATTTGCATGCGAGGTGCTGCATCGCTTATGCAGCATCCATTTGATTTCAGATTTTAAAAGCATCGCATGTATAGTTCCATATAAATTACAATTTGCTTAGTTAGTATTACAAAAATGATGGCACTAAACGATAAATATTAAACTTTACAATCTCACTGACTGTTTATGACACTGCAGTTTTGTTAAAAATCCGCTTGTTTAACGATTCGTGTAAAACTTTTACGGTCGAGAAAGCTACAGTTACGAGATTTTTACGATAGATCGATCGGAAAGAACGTGGGCACGCGAAAGTTAGATTTCAATAAACATTCGCGGTGTTCTTTGTAGCAGGAAAAACAGGCTAACCGTGAAATTTCCATTTTACCACCGTTTTCCAAGAATTTCAATAGAAACTAACATTCTGCAACTTTTTATTGCATCATAGAAGGAAAATTTTAAATGTTACAAACTTTCTATTTATTAAACATAAGACGCATCGACACAAATTTCTATTCCAAGAATTTCTAATACTAATTTCAATATTCCTGCAATTTTTCTGCGATTGCGGTTCGTTTTTCAAACAAGCTGCGTGTCCCAAAGTGGCTACCCTTCGTCACGAAGAGAGGCCGAGAAAAAAAATCGAACGTCCGACCAACCCTTTTCACACTTTGAAAATTCGTGCCGTTTCGTCGATAAAAGGACGCCGTGAAATCGACGCCGTTTCAGACACATGTTCGATCGGGCCGCGGAAATATTGGGAATTACACGAGAGATTTGCTACCCGGTGCGTGCAGAATCGAAAATCAAATAAAAAGAAAAAGGGGCGTGCAGGCACGCGGGCCTTGGAGCTGTCGAACGCGAGAAAGGGTTCCACCGAGGCTTCCATAGCGATTCGCTCTAATTGGATAATTTATCGGTCATGTCAATAAATAATGTTTCTCCGGTTGCTTGTAAAGACCTCGTGTTACGGATCGTTCTTTCTGCTCGTTTAATTTTATTCCTACTCTTTGAAGGGTTTTACTTTCGAGGAAATATAAATCGACAGATGTATCTATACGTACAAATCATTTTTAACAAGACGTTAAAATTTATCAAGTGTTAAAAATAAAAATTCTATATTGATTGCAAAATGACATTTATTTCTTTCATTAGGAAACATATTCACAGGTGATCATTTTTTCAAAAACGTATTCAGAAATATTTTATTTACATTTGCTAGAATAATCTTGCTACTTTGGCACTGCAATAACGTAACTGATCACCTTAAAAGGTTTCGCCTGCAAAAGGTGCGCGTCGTGAGAAGTGGGTTAACTAACTGGCAGCAGTCGTGTTTTCATATAGTTCACGGGAGTTTTCCCAGACCTCCCGTGACAAGGAGCAAGCAAAACCTCGCCAATAAAAGGAAAGAGAAAAGAAGAGGTTGATCTTTGTGCAACAAACGTCTTATCCCACGGCTTTCTTCCTCTTGCTCCGTAACCACGCGGACCTGTACGAGCGTGCAATTGCGATCGCTTGTGTGGCTGTCATTGTGCTGCACGTGACACCGGCCTATTACAACACACAGAGGGTGAGGATAAAGTAACGTTATATGATGATGTTTCCTTCTGGAGGAAACAATAGTGCTAGATAATCTAAATTTTTAATTAACCTTCCTTTTTTAAATTACAATTCTCCACTGGGATTTTCTTCATAAAATAATACCTTGAATAGACTTGAATATTATACATCTGCAATTAATATTTATTTCATTTATATTTCTTCAAAAGCGTTAGACTGACATTTACAGATGCAAAAATAGCGCTGCTGGTAAAAGTACTTCGCTGAGAATGTCCTGACCTTCAGATGTTCGCCAGTCGAGGATTACTTCGAAGATAAGAACGTTTAACGAAGCATTCCTTATTTTCCAAGAGAATCATGCTGTTCGTAGCGAAACGACGTTTCTCTTCGTCAATCAAGAGGATGCAAGTGGAAACGTGCTAGTAAAGGGGAAAACAATGTTCGTCCGAGTTTTCAGAGTAGTCCAAGACGTCGTGGAAGGTGAAGTTGCTCGGTTCGGCCATTGGTAACTGTACACGTCCCCTTCTCGTCTTTCCAGAAACGTCCTTCTCTGCTCGTTTCCTTCTCCTTTTCCCTCTTTTAATGTCCTCCTTCTCGATATCCTATTTACACGACCTTTCCACCAGTCACGGATCCTTGTGTTCTCCATTGTATGATCATTGACGCGCGCGAAGAATCGTAGAACTACAAGGATCAAGGTGGAAAGCTGTTTTCACGCTCCGAAGTTACATATTCCATTGCAGCTGAGATATAATTTTGATGGTTGTTACCCGATGCTATGGCGTGGGTGATCTCTGTTACTTTCACTTCGTGATTTAATAGAAGAAGAATTAATTGAGGAAGTATACTGGAAACGGGTTTCACTTCCGTCTGTCTGAAGATCCTTCTTCCTATTCCAATCTTGTTGAACCCTTTTGACTCTATGTAAATATCTATTATTACCTTCGATCATTACTCATATTGTTCCACTCAGGAATCTCACACAGATCAGAGATTCATTATAATCCAAACAGCTATTCGTCTACCTCATTCTGCATATCCTATTTTCCTATTTCTCTTCATTATTTTCTCATGCATTCGTGCATAATGAATTTCACATTCATCCATACAAATGAGGAAAATATAATCAATAGAACATCTGCAGAAATGTTTTAATTCAAATGCTATAATTTTTTTCAATTTCTACATTTTCTTCTCTAGTGTCATTCGTCTCGCCTTCTCTTTCCATTTCGTTTCTATGGAAAAAGAGGAGCCAGGGACATTTGAACGTCGCACCCTGGTAGCCTACTATTGGTTGCGTGCTCGCCTCGCATTCAGGACGAAACCTTTCGAGTCGGATCAGCGAGAAATCCGCGAAGAGTTCGCCGCGAACAGGCTCGCAGTCACGCTTGATGTGCTCGCACGTGTGCGGTTTCCAGCGTGTACACTCGTTGTTACACCTCTAGTTCCGTGTTTTCTAACGCAACAATGATGTAAACAGCGAGATAGAAGCGTAAGTGGTGAACGTGTTTTGAATTTCGAGAAAGCGTGGGAGGTATTCTAAATTTCATTACACTTGAGGGTTACTATTATTAAGATTTGATAAAATTTGTGCTATCGGTCGTCAGTGAAAAATTAATTAATATTTCATGTATTCAGATTTTGTTTATCATTCGTCCATGGAGAGAGGAGTTTACAAAAGACCCATTATTTCACGTGCGTTTCCAAGAAATCCTGTTTATCAGAGATCGAAGAACCTGCTCAAACATTATTTACAAAATAACGATAGACTCAAGGAAGATGCAAGGAAGCTGTACACTCTAGCGTGTACCTTGCCAGGCTTCCGCAAAAGCGTCGTCCACCACTTCCGGCAGGATGTCTCGGTGTTTCCAAGCCGCATACCGTGGACTCGCATGCTTGGACGCGGCAAACTTGTTCCGCAAAACGGGTCTCGACGATAAATTACGCACAAATTAGACACAAAACGACACGCAACCAGTTACAGAATATAGACCCGATACACGGGGCACTGTAATTCTCGATGATACGTATTCATTTGCCTCTGACGTTCTTTTTTTCCTACGAGAAGCGCTTTGAGATCGTTTGCAAAAGCGTTTCAAACGATGAGAACGGAGCTACGATAGCCATTAAGAACGAGTCCGGCTGAAAGACATCGCGAATCGCACGACGATTACAGTGTTTCGATTGCTACAGAGCGTTTCTTCTTTCCGCTGCTAAACTTTCTAATCTCAGGTAGAACAACGCGGGGTAAATGACTCCATTATTGTACATGTGAAAATGTAATTCTTTTTTTTTAATGAGACTCCTTTTTGATATCAAAATTTTGGCCTCTGACTTCGTCAACTTCTCTAACTATGTTGAGATAAGAATTGTGTCTCTAGGGAAAATTCCTAATAAACATTCATGTCTGCAAAGTATTATCAGACGTTCTCCTGATGGCAAAATTTTGATCTCATCAACTTCCAGTCCTAAATCTTCATATTTTATTATTAGAGCCACGCCTATGGAGTACTCTGCTGTTGCCAGAGTCCCAGTTTGCTAATTCTCCTTCAGTGTTGAGTCTCCAGTTGAGTATTGCCGATCAGACGTTCTCCTGATGGCAAAATTTTGTCCTCGTCAACTTCCAGTCCTAAATCTTCATATTTTATTATTGGAGCCACGCCTATGCAGCATTCTGCTGTTGTCAGAGTCCCAGTTTGTTAATTCTCTTTCGTCTCCAGTTACATATTACCGATAAGACTTACGTCGGCCAGAAAAATTCCTATCCACCTTGATCCATTCCGTACCTCAACATCCAGGCAGTATCCGAGCCATGATGGAACCACGAAAGAGACTCACCTGGCACGTCGAGGTACAAAAGAATCAAAAAGGTTCGCCCCCCTTTCGCTCGGCAGTTACTGGGCACGGACTGTAGCCTCTCCTTCGGTCTGCCGTTTCTCTTTCTCTCTCGTTCTCTCTCCATTCCTTCCACTCCCATAGCAGAGGCCGCATACCTCCTTAGGATGCAGTGTAGACCTGTCCATTGGCTGGCAGACATCGGCTCTTTTTCGAAACGGCGACTCATGAAACCGAGAGGATAAAATCGGAAAGTTGCTGCGGCTCGTGTGCGTCATGAGGTTCAGTGAATACGTGAACGTTCTTTGAACCGAGTGATCGAAAGAAATTGTATACACGTGGTGTGACGATGAGTTGATACGGTGTTCTCGAGGAAGAAGGATACTGGACCGACTTTATGAGGTGAGTTCCTCGTTGGCGAGCCTTTCTTCCTTAGAAGTAAGCGCTCGAAGGAGTTTCAGATAAGCTGATGGAAAACAAATGGATTTGACTTGGAATTTTCAATTTTTCTTCTTCTTTTTAACTCTTCTTTGAATTATAGGGGTTGCAGCGCACTTCATAATCTTTAACCCCTCTGATCTGACGCTTTCCACGACTATTATTCAAACTTACAGTTATTATATCTCAATACTTGAGTTTCGAAGCAATTTTACAGGTCAGAGTTTATTTTCAAAAAGGGTTTTTGAAATATTGCTTCCTCCATTTGACGCATCGTTCGAAGACGTACCTTTCATTGGTATTCAGTTATCAATTTCCTGTGTTTTCGTTTCGAACCACGCGCCACGATGAATTTCAAATTCATCTCATCGTGTAGGTAAGCCGCGTCGACTACAGTGTTTTGAGTTTGTCGATCTAAATATGTAGCACGAAGTAGAAGGCAACTGCGTAAAGAAATTCTATACGAGACTAGATCTTGCTGATATTTCCTTGACCTTTATTCCTTGCTATATTTAAAAACCTATGACAAATAACGTGGAGATTGAATATTTGTTGAAAGTCACAAACAGGATACAATGTTCGAAGAAATGTTGGGAACAGTGGAAGTTTTTTACAATATTTCCTCGTAACTCATGCATAAATGATTCATAATAACATAGAACAACGAGACACACGGACCTTGCCGAACTTCGATCATTGCTTTTGCCAGTTCGAGGGAAACCAGTCTGACCGGCGTGTTCAGTAGTCCAAGTCTCGATTTCAAGGAACCGGTGTCAAGTTCGTGGAACAGGAAAAGCTTCAGCCAATGGTTGCAACAGCTTCGAAGATTAATTGGTTATTTTAGAGATAAACAAGGTGATTTACCTTCGCGACGGCACTTTTCTTGATTTGCCAAAGAGCGTAGATATTCCATAAAAATTCCACTCAGGAAATTATGTTACTTTATGCCAGGAAATTCTTGGTAAACAACTGAATTCGAAGCCAAAATTGTCAATTATGAATTCTTAGAAGCACGTGATCACACGACGTCGCGTATCCTCTTCCTGGCAGCGAATCAAGCAATCTCGAAGGAAAAATGACGAGCGAAAAGGAACGAAGCTCGCGACAGGATGCTACTTTTCTTAGTCATTCATCCTGGTATCACCTGGTCACACAGTGTCAGGATTCCATGCGCGTAACGTAATGGCGTACCTGTGGAAGGGGCTTCGTAACGGTTTTTTTTTTTCTTACCCACACCTCGTTCTCCTCTTTGCTTTTCTAGCCTCTCTCTCTCTATTCGTTCCACCGCCTTTCTCGGCGATTAACGAGTCTAGGACGCCGAGGCTGTTGATCGTACGATCAACGCGGAACAGTTAACCGCGCGTACCCGTTCGCTTTTCGCGTGGTCGAAGAGAAAATCAGTCCAACGGATGCGAGGTAACTCGATTCCTCGAGCTGGACGATTCTACGCCAATGCCACTGGCCTGACCGGTGTCGTTGCACCGCGAAATTTCATAAGGATTTCGCGTTTCGAAATCCAAGAGTCGCCGGGTGTCGAGAACCAGCCGAGAGACGCTCGTATTTGGCGCGCGTGTCCGAACAACATGTGGGACATGGAATTAAATGATGTTGCTAATTTATTGAATTACACGGTGAAAAGTTTCTTTCCAATTACTTCAGGTATTGCGATAGAGTTAAGGCATTTTAATAATTTTTAATTGAAAATTTCTGAGACCAAGTAGAGGATTATTCCTAGGAGATTTTATAATATAGACATATTTCAGAAATATTGATTTTTAAACTGTGATTAGTACCTGATATTATAGATATAGTTTATTAATATTATATGCAAAGGACAGTTGTGTATCGATAATAATACATAAAGCAGGTATTAGTGGTGCTGGAACGTCATGAAATTCAACCCTATTTCCTGCGCTTATTTCCCATTCCACGAATTTTAAAGCTCTTTAATTAGATCCGGTTTTAATGCCTCGATAATTGTATGAAAATCTAGGAAATTTAAATGGGATTACAAGAGATATTAACATAATTCTTCTTTTAATCTGATAAATGGTATCTTAGAAGTTAAGTATTTAATACACTTGCTGCAAATGCAGCTGCAGCTTTCTCATCGAGTGCTTTGGTCCATCATTCAATTCGGTAGCATCATTTCGAGCTTGATTGATGGTAACTACCTCTTCTATTTAAAGATAAAGGGTATTGAAAATAATGTTGACCTGTTATTTCGAGTATCTCCTGTGAATAACTTCGACCTAGATCCCCGGAATCGCATTAGTTGCATTTTCAACAATTTATCAAACGAAGATTAACATTCAATCTCCATGGATTAAAATGCCATTGAGAATGTTTAAAAATGAATGAATCGGTACTTTTCTTCTTGCATCTCTAACAGACAGGTCAATTTTGTCATTTGAAATTGATTGAAAGTAACAACCACTTTTATCTAAAGGCCGCAATGAATGGAATTACTTTATCATGGCCCATATACAAAAACACGGCCAGTTAAGCTTCAAACAGTAAATTGCACGAAGTATAGTTAAACGATGCTATATCAATTCATCCAGTTAACATTTAATGTTTAATTTACAAAATAATATTGCGTTTTTTATTATTTCTGTCGCGATGTCCGATATTTTCACTGCATCATTAAAACGCAATCCATGGATTTCTTCCTAGGGATGGTAAAATCTACTGCTTAATTCCACTGTTGGATTCTTTTAAGCGCGTGTGAGCATCCGTACAATAGAAGTACACTGTTCCTCGCGGATTTTAACGCTTCATGCTTTTCCGCGTTGCTCACCTTGCAATAGAAATCACGAAGCAACCTGTGTCTAGTTGTTATTACGAATACCATTTTCACTAGTTAACAAAAACTATCTTAGCAAATTCTATGCATTTCTAATAAAATACCGACTGTTTTACGTTTATGTAATTTCACTGATTAATTTATTTCGTCATTTACACCACATACACGGTGTCCAAAGTATCGTTCGAAGGTAATCATGGTTTAAACATAAGAGGAAAACGTTTGATTCTGCATAAACTGTTGTCCGGAGTGAGAGTTATGACGCAAAGAGAATAGCGTTTATTTCAGCCAATGATGTTGTGCAAGACTTTTGTTCGGAATCTGTCTGGAGGCTCTACTAGAAAGTTACCGCCTAACATCGTAACGGATTTGTGTAACACCAACATTCGCGACTCGTTGGCCCGTGAAACTTAGCAGCTTGATCTTGAAATTACTTTGAAATTTTCTTTTTCCATATTCTACATACAAGGAGGAAAAACTGGTTTACGGTTTCAAGATTTTATCGTGTATTGCATGTTCCACTTGAAGGAGATTGGTATGATATTTTTCTAGGATATGCTCCAATTTTCGAATTACGCAGAGAATGTGTTCCAAATAGAAATTTTTATGTCGATCTTCTGCGGTTGCGCATCAGACTTGAAAGAAACCGAGATAAAGGGTAGACGAGTGGGTAACTGGACAATTCAATTGACAGATCACGGTTCGAGAATTCCGCGTACTCCTGAAATGGAATCTGATTTCTAACGGCTTTTCACTGACCACACTTATCCGCTTGGAAGTCATTCAGACACCGTACACGGTGGCTGCGCCGTACTGTTCTCGGTTCCCCTCAAGGTATTTTTCTTCAGCGTCGCGAAAGAACGCGGACTCGGTAGAGAGTTGTTTTATATGGGTGGAAACCGGTGGCTTCGACCGATCGCTGCATCCTCCGCACGGTTTAGCTGTTTCCTCCGTGCCCACTCGTCTGCGGTCTCAGTTTTTCCATCAGACCCGAGCGTCGATTCCTCCGCGTACCTCTCGAATGCTCGTTCCAAACGCCTCTTCACCTCGCGTATCGTTCATTCACTTTCCATTTTTGCTCAATTGCTCGTTGTAGACACTACTCGAACGTCATATCTTTCTTTAATAGAATAAAAAATTTGAAAACAAACCAATTCATTAGCTCCTGAATAAAAAAACGACCCAGAAAATAATTCCAATTAAAGAAAAAATAAAAATATACTTCAAAGATAAAAAGATTGAAAAGAAAACTTTGAAACTCTGGGACAAAAACTGTTTCGCATATAATTCTTCGGTTAAGTTGCGGTCTTTTGATGGCCGGAAGTGAACGGAATCGTGACGAGCTACGATATAGGAAGCATTCTCCTGTCACGCATCAGGGAGCATCACTTTTATTCATAAAACCTCTTCCTAAACGTTCTTGCTCCAGTTTGCTCAAACGAAACTTTTATTCTCTATCCATTCATCGTCATTACCTTCCATTCATTATCGCCATTTCTGGTACCAGGTCGCGAGGTTAATGACAGTAGAATGTATCCGTCGTTTCGATACACAGGTGACGATGTGGACGATTTTACTGCTCACACTATCCACGTGGTCTTCGTCATGGGGTCAAGTGATCAACCGAGCACCGCATTTCGTGCAAGGTGGGGACATGGCCAGACTGGCCGTGTCTGAGGGCACACCGCCGGGCGCACCTGTCTACACTCTCCAAGGAGAAGATCCTGAAGGATCGCAATTGCATTACTCCATCAGCGGGGAATACTTCACGGTGAATCGGGACACTGGTGTCGTCGTACTGAGAAAGGCGCTCGACAGGGAGACGCAGGACTTGATCGAAGTGATCATCAGCATAACGGGTAACTAAGTATACTAGCAGCTTCTATTGGTGTCCCGTTACGTTACTGCGATGGAATATCGATGAATATTCGAGTATATGTAGGTCACTGGATACCTCGTATCCATTGATACGTCAATGGAATTGTGACAGCTCGATGATGTCATTAGAAGTCCGGTCAGTGTTTTCAAACCCTTAACAAAACACGACGGAGAAATTTCAAGTTCGTTTACAAGGATGAAAGTTTCATAGGAATTTATGAATATTTTTATAGACGAAGGAGTCGCAGGATCAGAGCCCAATACTGTGTCCCTTCGTCGCGAGATCGCAGTGTTGGATGAAAACGATAATCCTCCGGTGTACCATGGCAGACCGTACGCAGCCAGGGTGCCGGAAAGTGCACAAGTGGGTGGGTTATTGATTCCTCCAGGAACCATCACGATCACCGATCGCGATGGTGGTGTAAACGCGGATGTTCACGTGGAATGCGTCCCTGCGACGCGGGATGACGACGTCTGCGAGGTCTTCAATATTTCCACGGAGAAGGTAAAAAATAGAAATGTTAAAAATAAAACATTTACATTTCTTCTTTTCAATATCAAATCTTTTCGAGTGAAACGCTCTCTCCAGCCGTTCATTTCTATTTATGATTCTCCGCTTATCGTCTCCCAACCGTAGAAATATTACTTTTTCTTGAAGCATTTTGATTTCATTTCTTTCTTTTTTCTTTATCATTTGTTCAGTTAGCAGAGGGTAAATACGCCGTGCAGATTACTCTGATGAAACCTCTGGATTATGAAAGAAGAAATTCTTATTTGATTAATCTGGTAGCGGTGGACGGTGCCAGTAACGCGTCTAAGAGGTTACAAGCTAGAGCAACAGTGGCCGTCGACGTTCTCGATGTCCAGGTAAGTGGGTCTCGACCGTAGGGAGCTAACTGTACATTCTGACCGAACTTTCTGCATTGATGAGCAAAATTATTTGCGATCAAACCGTCAAGAAGATATACTGTTACCTAGTGACACTATTTCGAAATTTCGAAGGCGTATCACTGAATCCTATGTAGCTTCAAGATTCTAAATAACTGTTATCATTGCAACTTTCGATTTCAACAGCACGAAATTAATACAGGCCTCATTCAGATACATAGAAAATCGTTTTCAGGATCAGCCACCCGTGTTCCTGAACGCGCCTTACAACGCGGCGCTTCCTGAGAACACGCCAGCTAGTCACACGATCCTGACAGTCAGAGCACGCGATGGTGACACGGGAGAGCCTAGAAATCTCCTTCTAACGTTAGAAGACGAAGACTCTGGTCACTTCGACCTGGAAGTATCGAGAGAAGGTGACGCGACGATTGGCAAACTCGTCACCACCAATGTCTCCCTCGATAGAGAAGATCCTAGAATCCTGCAGAACGGTGGAATTTACACTTTCCAAGTGAAAGCGACGGAATTGATCAATAATGAGATCCCAGCTGACACTGCAACATCGATCGTTACCATCGTGGTCACTGATGTAGAT